TCTCCTATTGCAAGCAAAGGTTTGGTAAAACTTTCAAAAATTATTGATCTTAAGTCTGTCCTTCATGTCCCTAAGCTTACTTGTAACCTTTTATCAGTTAGTAAATTGTCCAAAGACTCTAATTGTCGTGTTATCTTTTTTGAATCCTATTGTGAATTTCAGGACCAGAGCTTGGGGAAGACGATTGGCAGTGCTAAGATGATAGATGGTCTCTACTATTTTGAAGATGATAATTCAAGTAATAAAAAGGCTCAAGGTCTGAGTAGTTTTCATTTTATCCCTGTTAGAGAACAAATAATGCTATGGCATTTTAGACTAGGGCATCCTAGTTTCCCTTATCTTAAAAGATTATTTCCTACTTTGTTTAAAGGATTGGATTGTTCATCTTTTTATTGTGAGAATTGTTTTTTATCAAAGAGTCATCGTACTACGTATTCTCCCAAACCTTACCAAACTTCAAAACCATTTTATTTAATCCATAGCGATGTTTGGGGCCCTTCTAGGATCACAACTCTTTCTGGAAAAAAATGGTTTGTGACTTTTATTGATGATCATACACGTTAGTGTTGGGTGTATTTAATGAATGAAAAATCTGAGGTTGAAAAATTATTCAAGGATTTTTATATGATGATTGAAAATCAATTTCAAACAAAAATTGGCATTCTTCATACTGATAACGGCACCGAATACTTTAATGAAGTTTTAGGAAGTTTTTTAACAGAAAAATGAATTTTTCACCAATCCACTTGTGTTGACACGCCCCAACAAAACGGAATTGCTGAAAGAAAGAATAAACATTTACTTGAAGTTTCTCGTGCCATCATGTTTTCAATGAATGTTCCAAAGTATTTGTGGGGTGAAGCCGTTTTAACAGCAACATATTTGATTAACAGGATGCCTACTCGTGTTCTTAACTATTTTACACCCCTTGAAAGCCTTAAAAAATCTTTTCCTGAAACTCGGATTTATTCCAACCTGCCTTTGAAAGTATTTGGGTGCACTGTCTTTGTCCCTTTACCTAGTAGACTTCGGTCTAAATTAGATCCTCGGGCTGAAAAATGTGTATTTGTTGGGTATGCCCCGAATAAAAAGGGGTACAAATGCTTCAATCCGAAAACAAAAAAAAAATGTTTATTAGTATGGATGTCTTTTTTCTAGAAAATCATCCTTATTTTCAGAAAACTTTTCTTCAGGGGGAGAAAGAGAGCGAAGAAAATTTTGGGAGATTTCTATTAATATTCCCTTACCCAAAACTATTGTCTCACACTCTATTACTCCAAACACTGATCTTTTTAAACAGGGAAATGATGTTCTAGAATCAGGAAACCCGGGGCCTCCTAGTCCTAATCTGCCGAGCCTTACTGTATCTCTAACAGGGGGAGAAATCCTACCAACGGTTCCAAAAAAACCGAATCCTGAGCTTCTGGTTTATAAGAGGAAAAAGACTCATCAAAAGAGTAGAGAGCCTACTATTGTACCTGAGCAAGGCCAATCAGAGGTCCCACGCACTGACTCCCTGAACACTCAAGCTACTCTAAATCCTAACTTGTCTGCAGTTGTCCCTACTATTTCTGATAGTACAGAGTCACCTAGCCAAGTTCCTGTAGACCTTGATATCCCTATAGCTGTTAGAAAAGGAATCCGAACCTGTACCCAGCATCCCATTACCAAATACTTGTCTTATGATAAACTTTCTCATAAACATAGGGCCTTTACTTCAAATATTTCTCACTTGTTTGTTCCAAGAAACATTCAGGAAGCACTAGATGATCCGAATTGGAAATCATCAGTGTTAAGAGGAGATGAATGCTCTTAAAAGGAGTGAAATGTGGGAGATGGTTGACTTGCCCAAAGGAAAGAAAACTGTTGGATGTAAATGGGTTTTCACTATTAAGTGTAAAGCTGATGGTAGTGTGGAAAGGTACAAGGCAAGACTTGTGGCGAAAGGTTTTACGCAAACGTACGGCATTGATTACCAAGAGACGTTTGCTCCTGTAGCAAAAATAAATTCTATCCGAGTCTTATTGTCGTTGGCAGTCAATTCTAACTAGCCATTACATCAGTTGGACATAAAAAATGCCTTTTTAAATGGAGACTTGGAAGAAGAAGTGTTTATGAGCTTGCCACCTGGGTTCGAAGGAAAACACGGTCAGAGCAAAGTCTGTAAACTCAAAAAATCCCTGTACGGTTTGAAACAGTCTCCAAGAGCGTGGTTTGAATGCTTTGGAAAGGCTGTGAAGAGTCATGGGTATCATCAGAGTTAGGCAGACCAAACCATGTTCTACAAACACGGTGAGGAAGGGAAAATTGCCATTTTAATTGTTTATGTGGATGATATAATTTTGACAGGTGATGACATTGAAGAGTTGACCAAACTGAAGAAGAAACTTGCTAAAGATTTTGAAGTCAAAGATCTGGGAGCATTAAAATACTTCCTTGGAATGGAATTTGCCAGGTCAAGAGAAGGAATTTTCGTGAATCAACAAAAATATGTACTTGATTTGCTTAATGAGACAGTACTACTCGGGTGTAAAGCTGCTGACACTCCAATTGAAGTCAACCTGAAGTTAGAAGCTGCCGAACCCGAGAATATGGTTGATCGTGAAAGATATCAGAGATTGGTGGGAAGACTAATTTACTTTTTTTTTTTTATAAGTAACTAATTTACTTATCTCACACACGCCCAGATATAGCATTTGCAGTCAGTATGGTGAGTCAGTTCATGCACTCTCCTGGACAGGAACACTTTGAAGCAGTGTACAAGATTCTGAGGTACGGCTCACCAGGTAAAGGACTTATGTTCAAGAAACAAGGTCATTTGCAAGTGGAGGTGTACACAGATGCTGATTAGGCAAGCAGTATAGTTGACAGACGATCTACCTCAGGATATTGCACCTTCGTTGGAGGAAACTTAGTCACGTGGTGAAGCAAGAAACAAAATGTAGTAGCGAGGAGTAGTGCAGAAGCCGAGTTCAGAGCACTTGCCCATGGGATTTGCGAAGCTATATGGTTAAAAAGACTCCTTGAAGACTTGAAGGTTCCTGTTTCTCCTCCAATGAGAGTCTACTGTGACAACAAGGCTACCATTTCAATTGCTCATAATCCAGTCCTCCACAATAGAACCAAACATGTGGAAGTTGACATACACTTTATCAAGGAAAAGCTTGACCGTGGTATGATTTGCATTCCTTATGTCTCTACTACTGAACAAGCTGCAGACATCGTTACCAAAGGACTACACAAGAGACAGTTTGAAGTTTTAAGAAGCAAGCTAGCTATGAAAGACATCTACAAGCCAGCTTGAGGGGGAGTGTTGAAAAAGAGATATTTGGTTTTAATAAGAACAAATTTTAAGGGATATGATAGGTGTGTAATCAATGACTAAGATTAGGAATTTTTGTTAGTGTACAGCCTGTAACTTCTGTTAGTGTACAACCTGTAACTTCTGTTAATTTACAGCCTGTAATTACAGCCTATAACTTGTTGTTACAGCCTGTAGTCAGCCTGTAGTTTCCTTTTGTTAGCCCCTTGTATTTCCTATTTAACTAAAGCATTGTAAACCATTCAAAGTACGGCAATATACAGATTCTTTTCAATCTTGAAATCGCCTATTGTATTGGTGTCTAAAATATTTTCTTTATGCTTATTTGAAGGTCACGAAATTGCGCAAGGGGGAGAATGTTAGGTCAATAGAACTTAGGTCGGCATATTTCATCACAAAAGCTTGAGTCTATATTTTTATTTTTATTTTCAGATAGTATGTTTAAAAGTTAAGTTAGTTTAGTTGATTACCTCTAACCTAAGGGTAGAAATGGAATTTAGGAAATATACAAGGGCAAAAGGTCATTTTGACAATCACTCGTGTACTCACCAATTAAGATTTATGATTTTGTTGCATTCATTCCATTAGGGTTTTCAAAATTCATGGTTTGATGAGTCAAAATCCCTTGGAAAGCATAAGGGTGTTTTGGAACTTCCCTTAATAAAAATCCTAAAGCTTGTTGGATAGGGCACTTCCATTGATGAAGGATCCGTCTAAGGCCACTGGCTATATTTCGATCAACAACTGTGAATTGCATTTTTCTATTCTTTTTTTCATAAGTTGAATTGCATTTTTCGTTTAAAATTGAAACTTGATTAACAACCCTAATCTCTTAATGTCTAAACCCTATATATACCACTCATATGTTTTTAGAAAAATAAGGAGAGCACATAAGAGAGCATCCTAAACATCAAGGCATAAGGTTTTTCAACTTTGAATGCATTTTAGCAAATCAAATTGCTAGAGTTTTTTTTTTTTTTTTTTTTTTTTTTTTCACATATTCATCATTGTATTTAGTATGGTGAGTGTGTGTTGGTCATTAGAGTTTAGTTGTGCATCAAAAGACATCAACACCAAAAGTTTAACTGCACAAGGATTGGACGACTAGTTGTGGAAATTGAAAATCCATTTGTGAGAAGTAAATCTGTTGACGGAAAATTCATGAAGAGATTAGATTGGATCCTGCGTAACTCTATGTCAAGACGTAACTAGGGAATTTCTAGGGTTTTAGCAATCTGGTCAACCTAGTTGTAATTTCATTCTCATAGCAAATTTGATCAACTGGATTAGGTCCCATGGTTTTTCCCTTTAAGGTTTCCATGAAAAAATCTTGTACATGCGTGGTTTGAATGGTTTTTATTTTTATGCTCTTAATTATATTAAATGAATAATGAACAGATTTAGCATAGTGCTTTACAGTTTGTCAGTTCTAAAATTATCATTATAGTTCATTTTAATCTAAAAATTAGTTAAGCTTTTCTAAATTAGTTTTCCAAGACAACTTGACTCCCTCTAGGTTTTGATCACAGCCTTACACCTCTTCCTCAAAATCAGAGCGTAGGGTTTCGGTCCTAATCCCTCATGATATAAAATGAAATGGAATCATCCAAAAATATAAACATATAACACATTCTTTAATCCACAAGTTCTAGTTTACAATCAAGAATTTGAATCTTACCAGCTCCGATGGGCGATGGCATAGACATTTTTTAAGCCACCCATAACTTCATGAGTGACAAGGTCACCATTATCCCACACAACAAAATGGGGTTGCCTCAAAAATTTTGCTAGTGGTTTCCTCCACTTTTCAGCTCCACATATCCGAGCATTAGCATATTCCTTGCTGTAAATCTCTGACGCAATATTAGGTCCTCCAAGATATAGAATGTTCTCCATGGGAAGTCCAGCTGCAAATTATATATTCATCATAAGATGGGGTAGAGGAGTGCATTTAAGTTCCACCTCTAGCGAGTTCAAGGGGTAATTACGGAAAGAATTGCCACTAAATTATTCTAAAATGCGTTTAGAAAAGATGGCAAAGCGGGAAGTTTTATAGACTTCTTCTTTTTTGATTCGCTGGAGTTTATCGAACTGAATCAATTGTTCATTAGTGAATTGGACTTCTTCTCCAATGATATCACTAAGTTTGATGTTCGTATTCTCTTCGGGGAGGGAAGGAGTAACGTTCATCATGCAGATACTTTCAATATCTGAGGAGTCATCATCAGTAGTGTTTTGGGATATACTAGATGCATCGCTAGAGTATATACTACTGGAGAGTTCGTATAAAATGGTAGAGGGATCAGAGATATCGCTACCATAGACGACACAAAGGTTATCGGTCTGTAGACGTTTAACCATTTTGGAGGCCTTCTTGCCTTTTTGGGGGCAATTTGTGGCGTAGTGACCTGCTTCATTGCAAATATAACATTTGCAGTCTTTTTTGGTTTCAAGTGCTTTGGAGGATTTTTTGGATCCTTTCTTTTTTCCTTTCACAGGTTTCTGAGAAGGAGCTTTGGTCACATATTTTTTGGAAGCTTTAGGACGACGACCTTTCCACTGTTTCCAACGAAAATTTTTTCGCTTGGGTCTTTTCGAGGGGGTAGCCCGGTAAGGCGCGCAACCTATTTTCCAGGTTTCCTGGAGAATCTTATCGCAGCAGCGTTGTCCTTCGGCAGTGCCATTAATCTGGTTTTTAACCTGCTTTTTGGCTTTGGTCTCAAGACATTTTTCGTTAATGAGACGATAGACAAAATTTGTTCTAAAACCGATGTTATCAGTTTTTTGAATGCGAACAAGGAAATCGGGATAGCCTTTTGCTGCAAGTTCATCCCAAGGATTTGGAAGTTTGTGAAAGAACTGGGGTAACCAATGTTCGATCGCATTTGGTGGGAGGCGTCTAAAGTATTTAGTAAATAACTTGACGTATTCGGGAAATTGGCAAATGTTGCATAATTCGATTTTCGAAAGAGCACAGGTTGCATCGTCAGTGAGGAGTTGCTCACCGGTATGTCCTACCAATTCTTCTTTAAGTATTTTAACAAAGCCTCGTAAAACACCGTCGATTTTATCGAAGTTGTTGAGTAAGGCATCCTTTTGCTGTTTACCTTGGGGAGTTTGATCCCATTGTCGCAGCCAGTCAAGTGCATCGCCTTGGAGGGTTGCTGAGAGGTAATCAAGGAAGCGGGGGCGTTCCCAGGTTCCTTTATAGTTGTTGACAAGAATGGCTAGAGACTGAGCCCATTCGTCGATTGTTTTCAAGTGATCCTTATAAGGGACGTGAGTAAGATCAAGATAAGTTCCATTTTGTGAAATGGGGAACTTATTGAGGTCATCTTTACGTGTCCAAGTGGGGACCGTAGAGGGGACTGTAGAGAAGTCGTATTTATAAGAAGACGTATAGATCTTCGGTTCAGCGGCTGGTTTAGATTTTTCTTCGTCAGTTTTTTGACTTGAACCAGAGACTTCTTCGGCTGGAAGAACATCTTCTGTAGGAAAATCGCCATAGAAGGATTCGTCAAGAACTAAGTCAGAACGACGTTTTTTGGATTTTCCTTTTCTTTTAGAAGGTTTAGGGGCTTCTTCGATAGGTGTTTCGGAAGAAGAGGAAGATGCCGGAATAGGATCGGCTTCAATAGTTTCATCTAATTCTTCTGAAGAATCAGATTTGTCTGAAAAGGCATATATGTGTTCGTCTTCGGAAGTATTTTCTTCGTCAGAGGAGCTTGAGGTCTCATTTGGAGTGTAACCAAAGTGAGTAAGCAGATTCTCATTTTGTAAAGAGATTTCTCGTATACGAGTGATGATATGAGCACTTTCGTCGAACGTGAGTTTAGGATCGACGTATAAAGCTTGTAGGCAACTGAGCTGATCTATGATGCTATCATAATCATCTCGTCGATAAGAAGAGGAAGAGGGTGCTGAGAAAACTTTGATGTTTTCAACAGTGTCTTCATGGCCGTAAAACAAAGGTTTGACTTTGTAACGGATTGGTTTTTTAACAGAGGGTTGGTCTGTGGATGGGAGCGTATCTTCAGAAGGAACCGACGGAGGATCGGGTGGATCTGGTGGATATAAGTCAGATAGTTTAACCTTTTGAAGTTTAGCTAAATCGATCTTCATTTGATTTAGTTGGTCCTGAAGGGCTGTATCCGGAGGAGTAGAAAGAGTGAAAATCTGGGTAAGAGTTTCAAGTTTGTCATTCAAGGAGAGTAAGCCTTGTTGGACATCATCAAAAGAGGAAGCCATATGTGTATTGGTTGCCTCTAGATTATGCTGGAAGTCGATTTTCCAGTCAGTAACCATGTCGACAAGAAAGTTAAGTCCTGCTCCAACGTGGGGAAAGGAAACGGGTTCCGTTGTATTAAAGTGGGCTATATGCCTATAGTTTTCGGTTGTGGTGTCTTGACCTGCAAGGTTTCGAATACAGTTAACAGACGTAGTGTGTGCCATAGTGATAGAGTCGTAGATGTTGAATAAACTGTCCTGGTGCCTAAAACCAAGGGGTCCTGTAAGCAGCTTAACAAAGTCACAAAGGTCATACAGACATTGACATATAAGCAAAGACAGGATAATCTGGGCTTTTAACAGTAAACAAACATCTAAGATATATCATAAGCACAAACGTAGAACTGAAAACTTTATTACAGAAACTTACAGTGGTCCAGATTCGTAGTATGGCTCTGATACCAATTACAATGCGGAAATACAAACACAAAACTTTACATGAAGATCCTCAAATGAGGTCAGAGAGAGAGAGAGAATGAAAAACAGATATCCAAAACTCTGCTAGAGCCTTGGTTTAAATAACATTGGAAAAGTTAAACAGTGCCGGAGAAGATAAGAAGGAATCTTTTCTTTTACTGTTTAAAAAGATGTGTCGGCAGCTTTCACTGTTGATGAATAGTGTGTCGGCAACTTTCGGCTACTTTGGCTTTTTGAAAAAGTAGACAAGACATTCTTCTGTCGTGTGCTGAGTAGGGTTGCAGTCGAGTAGAGAAGAGTGTCGGTTATCCTTCCATGGCATTGATGATATTATGGAGTTCATATTCATCAAGGGGAGGAGTACTGGCAAGAGACTGTGCGTCTGCAATGTCCCATTCAAGATTAAGCCGTTCAGCTCCATCTTTGACCCGAGAAGGGATGTCAAGTGGATTGAGACGAACAATATCTTTTAAAAACTCCATGGCAGTCTGGATATTGTGTTCGCCTTCAGCGACGTCTGCATAGTAGCATCGAATGGTGGTGAGGAAGAGTCTGCGTCCATCACAACAATAAAAAATAGGTTCCTGGTGATAATAGGAACCATCAAGAACTCGCCTGGCAGTATCTTGTAGGTGTAAGAAACTGTGAATTTCAAAATAATAAGGATCCAGGCTGGCAGCAAGCTCCTCAGAATTTATCAGTTTGGGATGATCATAATCATTGTCCTCGTTGCCGGTGAATTTGAGAAACCAAATCTGATAGGGTTGGAAGAAGCGAGTTTTTTCAAAACTTCCAATTGAACTAGAAATCCAGAAAGTCAGGTGTCGACTGTAGTGCCAATGTTGACTGATTTTATAAATCATAGATCTTATCATGGCTGGGAAATTCTGGTAGGAATCATGAGAGGAAAAGGTAAGTTTATTAACTAATCCCCAATCAACTGGATCCATAGACCATTCTAGGCCTGGGATAATAAAGAAATCAAGTTTAAGAACTTTTTTTCCATTATAAAGAGTATCAAAGGTATTGATATCTTCATGATATGTGGTATAATAAGTTTTTATTATAGCATAATGATTTTCAATATGTCGGTAAATAAATCGAAAAACATCTGCAGGCAAGATTTCTCTGGCTTTTTCCAAGAGACAAATACGGTTGATTTTGGCAAACGTATTAGCAGGAAACTCCTGTTCTCCTATTAACTGGGCAAGTTTAAGGAAACAATTTATTTGAGTGAGAGAAAAATCTTTTTCCCAGTCGATAGAAAGACAGCTTTGTATGCAGAGCTGTTTAAGCTCAGTCGTCATAGCTGTTTGTTCAGCCATAAGAGCAGCAAGGGAACTCAGATGTTGTCTGAATTTTTTATTAGCACCAAGTTTATGTGCTTTCCAAACAGTATTGAGTTCGTTATACAAATTGTTTGGAAGACCAGGATCATAGAAATTGTTAATTTCTAAAATGTCTGGGTTTTTTGAAAACATTTTGTTTGAGGCTTGGCCCACATTATAGAAAACTGTTTGGGCTTCTATAAGTGTGTCATAAGCTTTAAAGCAGGAACCATTGAAGGAACGGAGCTGTTTGTGGCAGTCGATCCAGTTCTCATAGATCCCAGGCTGATGACCTGCAAAAACCACGAACCATTTTTGTGGCTGTGATGGAGATGGTTTGGAAGTTGCCTTTTTAGCAACAGTGATCCAACCTTCTTTATCAGGCGTAGGCTTAGGATATTCATCCATCTGTTAGAAGGAGAGAAGAGATATCTTTGTTAGATATTTCCGTAGGTCTGCTTAAGAAATCTGCAAGAAAATTGTTAGTTCCTTTGATATGTTCAATAGCAAAAGAATATTGAGCAATAACATTATACCATTTTAAGCGACGACCATCTAAGCAATTTCTTTTATTGATTAGAAAATCTTTAACAGCTTGGTTGTCTGTTCTAATAATAAAATCTTCTGGAGCAAGATAAATATGGAACCGTTTTATTGCTAATTTTATTGCCAGAAGTTCTTTTTCATATATAATATAATTCTGTTCATTTGGTTTAAATTTGCCAGAATTATATCCACAAATTAACTCTTCTTTTTGAAGGCGTTTGGAGATGGGAGCTTTGCGAGCTCGGATCATGGGAGAAGAGGGAGTGTCCTCAATCCATTTGTCGTGAGGGATGGCTTTTAAAACACAACCCCAACAGAGGTCAGAAGCATCAGTTTCAAGAATAAGTTTATCACCATTCTGG